TATATGCAACTGCTATGTAACCCAACAATTACACTCTTCGGCATTTATCCCAGAGAAATTAAGTCTTACGTTTACAAAAACAACCTGAATACAAATATTCATAGCAGCTTTATTCATAATAGCCCCAAAGTGGAAACAACCCAGATGTCCTTCAGTTGATGAATGGCTATTACTGTGATATATCCATACCATGGAATAATACTCAGCAATAACAAGGAACAAATGTCCAGAGAATTGTGCTGAGTGAAAAAGAGCTGATCCCAAAATGATATACATTGTATGACTCTATTTACATATCATTCTTGAAATAATAAAAATGAATAACAGAACAGTGGTTGCCAGGCACTAAGTAGGTGGTGGAGGCAGAAAAGAAGTGGGTGTTACTATCTATAAAAGGACATTGGGGATCCTTGTGGAAATGTGCTTCAACTTGACCTTATAATGTCAGTCCCCTGGTTGTGATATTCTACTATTTTCACAGGATGTTACCATTGAGGGAAACTGGATAAAGGGTACATGGGCTCTCTGTGTTATGTCTTACACCTGCACATAAATCAACAAGTATTTCCAAATAAAGAGCTGAATTTTCAAAAAATAAAGAAAAGAAAAACTTACCTTAAATGTATTTCTTAAAGGTGGTAGCCAGACCAGCATACGGCAGATGAAACTAAAGTAAATTGAACAAGATAAATTCAGTGGGTAATCCATACAACATAGGTTATGTACAATCAGTAGATTTAGAAGGTTGAAAGAATCCATCACCTACCGCAACAGGCTTCTGAAGAAGACATATCAGAATTCTTGAACAAATTCCAAAAAGTCTAAGCTAATTGCTTCACAGACAAGTCACAAAAATGCTCAGAATTTTATGGTAAAATAAATTTTGAAGTTGTTAGAAGTTAAAAGAAGAGGGTTTTAAAAAAATGAACTAAGGTAGTGTGTTAAAGAAATGCAGTATTTTACCTAGCCAGCATGGCTCAGTGGTTGAGCATCGACCTATGAACCAGCAGGTCATGGTTCGATTCCTGGTCAGGGCACATGCCCAGGTTGTGGGCTCCATCCCCAGTGTGGGGCACGCTGGAGGCAGCCGATCAATGATTCCTTTTCATCATTGATGTTTCTATCTCTCCCTCTCCCTTCCTCTCTGAAATCAATAAAAACCTATTTTTTTTTTTTTTAAAAATGCAGTATTTTGAGACAAACTTCTGAAGTGCTAATCTGAGTTGGAAAGAACTAAACTCTTGGCTGATTCAGGTGACAGTCTTTCAGTAGTTTCTTCACATTTTTAGAGCCCCTTAATAAATTAAGACTTTTCAGATATGGCTTAATTAGTTTCTATTTAAGCCCTAACAATATCAGTGATGGAGAACCTTTTGAGCTTGGCATGTCAGCATTTTGAAAAACCCTAACTTAACTCTGGTGCCGTGTCACATATAGAAATTTTTTGATATTTGCAACCATAGTAAAACAAAGATGTATATTTTTGGTTTTTATTTTATATATTTAAATGCCATTTAATGAAGAAAAATCAACCAAAAAAATGAGTTCGCGTGTCACCTCTGACACGCGTGTCATAAGTTCGCCATCACTGCACTAGATGCTAAAATATATCAGGATGCAAGAAAGGTAGGGAGGAATGAAGAATTTAACTTTACCCACCAGTGAAAGTCAGTGTTTGATGATGGTAAGAGAAATTAGTATGAAATAGTAAAAGAGCTTGGATTTTACAGGTAGAAATATCTAGATTCTTTTACTTCCATGGTCATATAACTTTGGGCAGTTTACATCTGAGTTTCAGTTTTCTCATCTGCAAAATAAGTATGCTATCATTTATTTCAAAGAATTTTAAAGGGCTTGGCACATAATAGTCACTTTCTAAATGGTAAGAATTATCTTTTTTTTCACCTGTATAAGTATATTATAGGATAAATATGAGAAGTAGAATTGTTGGGTCAGAGTATACGCACACATTTTATTCTCATGGAAGCTGCCAGATTAGCCTTTAAACCAAACTTATTAATTTGTATTAACACCCCAAATGTAGGAAAGTACCCATTATCCCACACGCTGGTTTATTCTAGTCTTCCTTTCTTGTTTGTCTATAATGTAACTTCTGTCTCTAATCATGAGAAATATGGATCTCACCATTCACTATCGATTTACTTATATATATCTGTATATATATAAAGCAGTTTCAGAATTCCTAACGTGTACTATACCCATGACAAACAAATTTACCTACTAGTGCACATACATTGTTTATGTACAGTTCATTTTATCTTTTGCCTTACATTTCTAGTCAAAGCATCCAGTTACCAAGATCAGTTTTTTTTTCTCCTACTCCCTTCAGTTGGTTATATCTTACATTTGTAATACAGTTAGATTCACTGTCTGCATTATTTCTTGACCCCCAACATCCTGCTTTTATTGTTTTAATTTTAGCTTACATACATTAATGTTTACTCTTTGTGAAATAACAGCTCAGTGAATTTTGAAAAATGCAGTGATGTATTTTAATTATTTTTAAAAATTTAATAATACTGTCCAAAGTTTTCTTATTCTACTTGAGTCACTTTTGCAAAAAGACATTCCTATATGCCACCAACATTTTTCCAGATTGCTTATCATGATAAACTAGCAATATTGTTCTGCATCTTAATTTTCACTTAATATCACATTGTTTATATAGCCTTTATTTCTACTTAATTGCTTTAAATGGTTAAAATGTTATTTTAATAATAATAGCCAATACTCTTATTGCAAGCTACTATATTAGTGTCTTCATATATTAACTCATTAAATTCTCACAGCAATTTTATGAGGTACATATTTTTACTATATTTTATATGTAGGGAAATTATGCTGATTGATTGAGGGGCTGATTGTCTAAGGACACGTAGCTATCATGTGGTAAACTTGAGTTTTGAACACAGGCAGACTGGCTCTGGAGTCTGTGTTGCAAACCACCAAATTCTACTGTCTCTCATTGTGAGCCTGTATAATTATTTAATTAATGCCCTATTAAGAATTCCCTATATAGTTTTTACATTTATAAGTTTTATAAGCCTTTTTTTTTAAAAAAAATTAAAGCTATACCTGCACAGCCCCCCCAAAATTCTGTCGGCACAAAAGTGTATAAATGCAAAGTGAAAGTTATCCTTCTCTACCCACAACCATGCTACCATTCTCATTTCCTTAGGGTGGCTACTTTTAACAGTTTGCTTTGTAGTTCTTCCAGTAAGTTTTATTAGAGTTTTAACTTACTGAAAGTCTATTTGATTTTTCAACTTACCAACTTCAGGTAAAGTGTGTTGATATTACACTTGGAAAGATGAGTGCTTTAGAGCATTTATAATATTTCAAATCTTCCCTCTATAATTTTTCTCAGTGCTATTAGGCATTAATTTTTATTTTTCTAATGGTTATCTTTAAGAATATATTTAAAATATTTCTTGATATGTAAACCAAATGGACATTGTCTACCAGTTTCCTTCTATGAATTATGAAAAATATTTTTAAAAAGGTTTCATTTTCTGTCTCCTGAGAATCACTGAGAATGTGATTTCAATATATTTTCAGATGCCATTTGTTATCTAAAGCATTTCAAAACCTTTTAAATTTAAATTACAATTTGTTCTGACAATTCTGTTTTCTACTTTTGTTTCTCCTTGAAATTGTACATCATTTTGGTTTTATAAATTCAATAGAATAAATATTACAGTATCAAGGAAGCTAAGAATATATATATATATATATTTGTGTATCTATATATACAGATTTATTTTGATAATTGGAAAAATATAACATTATGAGAAACTTGGGAAATATTCTTTCATTACAAGCAGTCCAAAATTAAACCTTCTCTTTTTATAAGGTGGCTTTTTTACAAAAACAATACATGTTACCACCTTTGAAACCAGAACATACAGAATCCAAAACAAAATATCAGGTGAGTGCTGAGTTATCCTATCCCAGTACCAATCATACTTAACTGTTAGGCTTTTCTAATACATTATGTAATTCAATGGCCCCAAAACCAAAATGCTCATTAGAAACACTGGGTTATCTTTTAAAAATACATATTCCCAGGTCCCACCTCTGACCTAAGAATCTCAGTCTAGAAATGGAGCCTAGGAATTTTTACTTTTCAAAAAACCTAAGGGGATTCTTATGCTGTCACCTGGGTATCAGCTAGCATTTGAAAACCAGTTATAATGAATTGTATCCATTAAAATGAAGCTTGGACTACTAAGGTGACATGAACTAAAATTCTAGGCTGATTATTTCACACTTTATTTTTTCCAATTGGATAGATAATGTAGAAGTTGTTTGAACAAAAGTTTTGAATAAGAGACTTCATTTTGAAGGCTATTTCAGTGATGAAATAGTTTGATTCCAGAGCTACAAAACTGTCTATGGATGTCACACTGAAATTTCACTGTAATCCAGAATTTTGTGTACTGCTGTCTCTTAACCATTTCTGAGGCATATAGAGTATTCATAAAAAAGATTTTACTGTGATGTTCTAAGGATTGAATGGAACTCATCACGGTTGAAATTCTCAGACTTAAAAGCAGGTGATATATGCCCCCAAGTCAGCCTTTAAAGAATATTCCTGATATTTTCACTGGGATATATACTACTTCACTTTTTTTTTAATTTACTAAAACGATAAATGTTTGTATGGATCCTGATGTTAGCCATTGTTTAAGCAAATGCAACTAACACTGGAAGTTGAATTCTTTACTATTTGTGAAGTATTTACAAATATTCCAGGTAGGAAAAAGCTTTGACACAGAATAGTATCAGAGTTAGAAATTGAAAATTTTTGCATTAAAATTTCAAATATTTTAAAAATAATTAAAGTTAGTTTTCTGTTTGTAGAAGGTAGGAGGATGAATAGATAGACTGACAGATTGCTCAAAGACTTAGCTAGAAAATGTATTATAAATTCAAAATAAATGTTACAGAATGTCTTACCTTTTTTTTAAATTTTACAGAATCTCAACACCAAGGACAGTTTGGATCCTTTTCTAAGGCTTCCAAACAACAAAATATCAGCCACTAAAAGGAGCTACCAAGATATGTCCAAATATAGAAACACTTTAAGTACAGAGGTTATAGAACACGAGGACCAAGATCCTCCTTACCCAACACATTCAAAACCTCCAAGCCCTACTGATACAAACCGGCCCAGTGGTCTTGATAGCAGCATTGTAGACGCTAAGACTGTAGACACTAAGAAAAAGTTAGCCCCTGATCCTGATATCATCACAATACAGACTTTAAGCAGTAAGAATAATTTAGACTGTGAGCCTACCATCACCACAATAAAGAGTTTAGATATTAAGAATCACTTGAAGGAAAGACTACCAACAGCATCTTTGCCAAACTTTGAAGGAGAATCATCACTGACTGGAAATGTAGATGTAAATACAGGTCGCCTCTCAAGATCATTAAGTTTTACTTCCCTCCTAGACAACTTAAAACAGTCAGTGGTGCTCAAGCCAAATTTAAGTAAAAATCTTGAAGACCTTTTAGATAAATTACTTTTTAAACCAAAAATTCCTAACGGCACTGAAGGAAGAGAGAAAAGCCATAGTTCTCCACTTACAAGTGTTCATGATAAACCACCAACAAGTTTGGAAGACAAAATACTTGAAAAAATCCAAGATTTAAATAACTGGCTTTCAGAAGGAGATATTTTGAATTCAGAGTCTCCTGTAAATCCAAAAATTAAAGATATTCCTGGAGTTTCATTGTCAGAAGATGGGCCAGGAAATTCTCCAGAGGTAGAAAGGGACCTCCTCTCTGAAAATCACTTGGAGGACGGTGATATAGCTTTTCCAATAATAAAAAAAAGTAGTTTCAAAAAGAAACATTTAGAAAGTGAAGTGCCTAGCCCCGAACCAGATTTCAATAGCATCGCGCATGATTACATTATCAAGCAGATATTCACTGCCCCATTCTTCTCCAAGTTGGCTATGGGAGTGGAAGAACTGAGTGAGACACAGATGAACTGGCAGAATCAATTACCCACATCTTGGGAGAGTTTATCTCCAAATATTCCGGGTCACTATGAAGAAAATGATGATGGGAGAGAATTGCCAGAGGCCAAATCTGTTGCAAGCCAGATAATTGAAGCATTTTCTGTAGATACTCTTTTAGAATCTGGGATCATCAAAGTGGTAGAATTAGGTGAAGACCAGAAGGGTTCTTTGCTGCACACAGAGACAGCCTTTGCTGGAGAAAAGCCAAAGGCCTCCACAGAAGGTTATTCAGAAATCAAGAGCAAAACAGATTTTCTTTCAAAGCAGAATATACCCATCATTCCCAAAGAAACCACTTCTGTTTTGAATAGAGCCACATTTATAGACAAAGGCCAAAATACATCACCACAAGACACATCATATCAGTCAACACCAGATGAAAAAACAGATTTGCCAAGTAATGGTCAGAGGCTTGATAGAGAAGAAAATGATCTAAGTTCTACCTTAGAAAATTTAAGTACCTTGTTAATGGGTAAACTTAATGAGCCAGATGTAACAATGTTAAAATCCTTTTTCAAAAATATATTTAATGTTTTTTTAGAACATAATCAGTCTGAAAAGGGAAGACAACCAGAAAAAGAATTAGAGAGACTAATCCAACATCCTTCTCTAAATAATGCAGAAGACCTTGAAGAAATCAAAGAGAATTTTGATGAAGCAGACAAATTAGACAGAAAACCTAATTTGAATCCAAAGCTGGGTGTATTTCCAGAAGCACTCTCAGAGTCAGAAATTGAAAAATTTAAAGCTGAGGTAAGCAAATATATCCAGCATTACCTTGTAGAAAGACTTTCAGAATCAGGACATATCACCAAAGAGGATTTACCCAAAATCTATCAAAATCTGTATTTGATAAATGAGAAAACAGAACCAAAAGAGCAAAATATTTCTCTGGAGAAACATTCAGAAATTGTAAAAGAAACGATGTCTTTTGTAAATAATTTTAATCATCATTTTATAGATAAAAATTTGGAAATAAGGCTGAGATCCTTTTTAAATGAAATTCTGCAAAACTATTTCCTAAAAAATCTTTCAGAAAGCAGTTTATTTAAAGAGACAGAATCTGAACCTATGCACTCAAACATACCTTCTCGAAGAACTAAAAGTTCTTCAATATCTTTTCATGAGTTAGGACAAGACATTTCAAAGGGGAGTTTTGGCAGAAGGCTTGATATAAACATGAAATATCCTGTAAATAAATCTCTGCAAAACCATCTTATAGGTTTATCAGAAAATGAACTATTAAATCTAAAAGCTGATTTAAGGAAATACCTTCAGGTACTTTTTATAGATAAACTTTCAAAATCAGGACTAATCACTGAAAGGCAATTAAAGGGAATCAGCAAACGTATAAATTTGATTAAGTCTAGTTCCACACCATTAAAATGTATAAAGCCAGATTTATCTTTCAGAGATGAAAATAAATTTATGAATGAGCATTCAGAAAAGCAAAATAAATATCCAAAAGTTGTTCATAAAGCTACTTTACAAAAGGCATCTGAGGATAGAATTGTAGAAACAGAACTGACCAGGAACGATGAAAAAGAGTATTTTCCCTTACAGAATACTAAAGAAAGTCCAGCAATAATTAGAGAACAGAAAACACTGACTTTAATTAAAGTACAACCTTCTTCCAACAAAAATACCCAAGCAATTCCATCAAAAAAGTCATCAGAAAGACCTACAGACATAGTGCTTAAGAAACAAAGGAAAGCACATGGTTTTGTGCAGCTTTCTGAAGCAGAAGATTTTGATTTTAAGACAGAGATTCAAAATTCACATAGTCTGAGTGGTAAATCAGAAATAACTCAATCAAACACTTGCTTTGAAAGCACACTAAAAATGAAGTCCCTTGAAAAAAAGGAGCAGAGCATCTATAAATTGATGGTACAGGAAACACATGAAGTATTGTTGCCACCGAATGTTAGAATTCCTTATTACAAACTGCCAAGTGAAGGTGAAGAAGACATAGGTAAATTCACGTTTCCTCCCGGGCAGAGGAACACTTTAACTCATCTCAGTTCAGAGGCTGGGAACAACCACTGTCAGAGACTGAAAGGATATAATAACAATAATAAAAAACAACATTTAGAAACACTTGCACATTCTGAAAAAGACATACAAACTCTTTATATAAAACCAAGTGAAATTTGCAATGAAAAATGTGCGAAGGTCCTTGAATCGTTTAAATATAAAGTTGTGGAAGCTGAGAAAAACTCAAAACCATCCCTCTTCCCAGAAGTATTGAAGAGAGGAAATCTAAAGCCCAAGGTCCGGAAAGAAAGAGACTGTGTCAACAAACAAACCAAGTCACCTAAGACGGTGACGGTACTAGCACCCACGCCGCCCACCAGGAAAAGGCCCAGGAAATCTGTCCCACGGACATTGCTTCATTGGACTGCAAGAAGAACGATACACGTAATCATGCTTTTCTAGTCTTCTCCCTCTGTGTTTTGCGAAGTTCTGTAAATAATCTGTAGGATATCTATATCTATATATTTATACATAGATATATCTGCATGCAAGTGTGTGTGTAACCTTCGTGGCCCCAAGATGTACAGCTCTCCAAATTTAAAAAAAAAAATCCTTCTGACATTCAAATATCATCTTACCTGATCCAAAATGTAATCACAAAACCAGGGGACTGTTAACACACTGAGTACCTTTGTGTAAAATAGATAAAGGGCACACCCTCTGGAGTATTAGGAAAAGGTACCCTTCCCTCTGGGAAGATTCTGCAGGCTGACCCAGCCTGGAGCCAGAGCACAAGCCCTGTCCATGAGAAACTGGCTGGCTTTCAGCCCCAGCTCACCCCCAGTCAGGGGCCATTGTACAGGCACAACCCCAACAACCATTGGCAGTGGCTGTATGCTATGGAAATATATAAGGTTTTTCAGGTCACTGAACACCTGTTTCAGTGAACAAATATATTATTATGTGCCAGTTCTGCTAAGCATTAGGGTATGCAATATTTACAATCAAATTATGATTGTAAAAATTTTATTTTAATTTCTAGTCTTTTTTTTTTTACCACCACCCCACTGCTATATTGTATGCTGACAAATTTGGGAATTCAAATCTATTTTTAATATTACATAAAACAGGAAGGTAAATCTGCTATTAGACTTTATACAAACTATTCTAGGAATGGAAGGGATGTATTTTAATTTTCTTGACCACTGCTCTTATCTATATAAACAGGCATGACCTACAATGTAAATTCATACATTGTAATGGTAATTTGATGTGCATAATTCTATCTTTGAGAAAATGGATTTAAGTTCAAAATAGTTGAATTTCCATAGTAAATTGTTTCTCCTCCCTCCCTCCCTCCCTCCCTCTCTTTCTCCCTCCCTTCCTCCCTTCCTTTCCTTTTCCTCACCCAAGGATATTTTCCCATTGATTTTTAGAGAGTGGATGGGGCGAAACAGTGAGAGAGAAACATCCATGTGAGAGAGACACATTGATTGGTTGCCTCCTGAATGAGCTCCTGCTAGGGTCAGGGATCAAACCTGCAACCGAGGTATGTCCTTGACCAGAATTAAACCCCGACCCTTCAGTCTGGCTGACGCTCTATCCACTGAGCCAAACCAGTTAGGTCCATAGTAAATTGATTTTCCAGGGTAAAGCAAATATTTAGCTTTAGTAAATAGTAAAGCAAATTAGTAGCAGGGTAAATATTATTAATATAGCTTATACTCTCAACATTGGATTTCTCTTTTCTATCTAAATTCAATAATTTAGTATCAAATGAGTGAGGGGTTGTGTGCACTAGGAATAGGAAAAAATGGGTTTATAGTCCTCAGAAAAGAAAGACTTTCTTTAGTCAAGTGGAATCATTAGTATCACTTTCAAACAAAACAAAAAAATTGTGTTTATGTTACATGTTATGAGATCATATATGGTCTCAGAATCCTTATCCTAAGAATGGGCGAGAGAGATTGAGTCATCTTTATTTCCCTCTCTTAAACCAACCGTACCTGAACTTTTCTCTCTAGTGATATTGGCAACAGAGAATAAATGGTAAGAGGGAATTTTTCAGATCATCAGAATGTCTGGCTCATCTGATTCTCTAAAATTCAAGAATTTCCCAAAGAACTCAAAACAAAAGACTGAAAAACTGAGTTGCAGGAGCATCCAGAAAGGGCAGGGAGTGCGGGGCGGGGGGGGGGGGGCGGGGGGGGGGGAGGGGGGGGGCGGCGGCGCAGCTCCATGTGCTTCCACTGGTCCTCTAGCAACAGTACATCCACTGTGAAGCAAGTTACATATCACTGGCCAGTGTAGCAGATGCTCCCTTAACGCTGGGCTGACCTAATGGCTCTAGAGGGAAGAGGGAGGTTTCCTTGTCCTCTGCAAACCCAGGCAAAATTGTAAAGTGGGTCCCATTTCCCTTTAGACTCGTGGTGCCTCCTCTTGTAAATCTCTTTACTGCTGTCTAATTCTTAGCCCTGCCAACCCTCCCCCAGCTTTCCAGTTCTAATAACCCACGCCCACTTCCTCTCCAAAGGAAAGCAGCCCATTTCTTTGGTGTGGCCATCTCTCTGAAGTGTTAAGAGACAAGCTGCTCAAACTGCAGGGGAAACTAGTTTACACTAATTTGAGAATGACTAATAGCTCCGTATTCTCTTATGCGCATACTTGTAAAGTATTATAAAATATAGACATATTATTATAAATTTGAAAAGGAAAACAAAGCCCATAATCCCGCCACCCTAACACAGACACCATTTAAAAAATTATTTTGGTATATGTCTTTTATTTTCCTGAATGTCTTACTTGTTTACTCTCAAAATATACACAATTTTAAAATTGTTTTAATATAAACATTATAACCATATCCTTAGATGCTGAACTCTGTGCATGTGTGTGTATTAAAGATGTTTATCAGCTTTTAAGGAATGAAAGTTGGGATAACATAAAAAGTCAAATATAAGAGTTTATAATTTATACTTGGGACGGGGGAAGATGTATTTTGGAAGAGGAGAATTATAGAACAGGAAGCTGTTCAACCTTGCTTAGGAGTCTGACCCCTAAATTTATCTGGTTTCAAGCTTTATATCTTCCATCCCTTTTGAAATAACAGATCCTTTGAAACAATAGATTTTTTAAAAGATATGTTTTTATTGATTTCAGAGAGAGGAAAGGAAAGGAAGAGACAGAAACATCAATGATGAGAATCATCGATCACTGTCTCCTGCATGCCCCCTACTGGGGATTGAGCCATAAACCCGGCATGTGCCCTGACCAGGGGAGGGAGGGACGGAATCCAACCTTGACCTCCTAGTTCATGAGTTGATGCTCAACCACTGAAACACACCAGGGGGCTGAAACATGGTTGTGATTTTTTGTTTGTTTGTGCGGTTCTACATTCTCATCTCTATTTATTTGGTTATTTATTTATATCTATTTATTGTTGGTAGTATTATAAGATTTCTGCAGTTTCTAATGGGAGGCATTGGTGGAAGGTTTTACCTATAAAACATTTGATGCTCTCATTTTTTGTCTTTGACTGTTGATATTACAAACTTTGGTTCTTATAAATGTAAAATATACTTTAAGGAAGCCTAACTCACCAACTCGATCTTTTATTTTAATGTTTAGGATTGTTCGGATAGATTTGAGGATTTTCCTATGACCCCATTTCAGCATCTTGAAAAAGTGAAATTAAGAGCAAGGCTTTTAGAAAAGAACCCAGATGAGAGCCACGATCGGTTGAAACATGCAAGACCATGCACTGCTCCGGGGGTTAACAAGCATCGAGAAAGCTACACTGGAAAGTTTACAAGTTCTCGAATGGTTTCAGCAGGCTTAGTTCATTTAAATGACACAGTTCCAGATTATGAAATCCATAAAACACAGCCAAAAATTTTTAAAAGAAAGTGCTGAAAATGTTTGCTCACTTGTGATATTATCCAATTGTTAAACAGCTCAGAATGATATGTGAGGCCGACAGTCAGAATATCATTTCTCCAATTAACAAAATGGTTTGGAGATCTGTCCTTTCCTGTGATAGAAGTCAGCAACCAAATTTCATCTTGTTAGAACCATTTTGTTTTAATTAAAATGTAAAAGAAACACTTTTTGATGTAAATGTGTTTGTTTATGAACTATAGGGAACACAGAAATACATATTCAGTTCATATTCATTAGCAAAGTTGTATTCCCAGCTTTTCTTCTTTTTCATTATATGACAGAATTGCTCCAATTCATAGCGCTCAGATTTTTCAAATCTGTGTTATGCTCTGAATGATCCCTCACCAGGTTTTAAGTTCTCTATGTGCTGTTGATCCCCCTTTAACTCTTCAATTTTAGTTATATTTCTTGATTCAACAGAATATAATTCTCTAGGCCTATAAAACTTGTTAATTTTAATATTGGCTATCACAATTTTTTACACTATAAAGATGATAAAGAACAGGTTTAATATGAATTCCTGAGGCAGCTCCTACACTGTAGTGACTTTCTTACTTGAAAAACTATGAAAGGGCCTCTTTAATAACACAAAGCTCAGGAAGCTGCATACATCTATAGAAACTGCCTAAAATATTACCTAGCTAAATCAGTCCAGGATCTAAATCAGAGACTTCTGAGAATTGGCTCTATTCTCATCAAGTACAGTATTTGGATCTTGTTGAACTTTGGTTCATTCTTGAGAAGCAAAACTTCAATTTATAGAATTTTTGTCCGTTTTAATTTTTCTCCCATAAGTCATAAAAACTATGGGGTTTAAATAGATTGGCTAGTGGGGAACTTAAATCCTGATCATTCATTTAATGGTATGATCAAGGTAATACATTTTTTTGGAGGCCAAGAATTTCTAGTAATCCTCAAAGTTGTACTTGCATCAGTCATAGTGTAACTGGGAAAACAGTTATAACTTAGAATCTTCAAGTAGAAGAAACACGGGGAATTAGTTTCATGAGTGATGGAATCAAGGCTAAGAAGTCAAAAGGGACGGTGGGTCAATCCAGAGATTAGCAAGAGCAGGATGTGCCACTACCCTTCAGATGGAAGAGACAGCAGGAGCAAGCGGTGCTACCAGAGTCCTAAAGCCAAAAGGCCAAGAACATAGAGCCACTGCCAGGACTCCGCAAGAAACCGGGAAGAGCACAGGGTGAGAAATGCCTCATTTTCCCTCTCTCTTCCTGCTCTCCGATTTCCCAACATTGCCTCCCTGGACACCTGAGAGAGAGGGTGCATGGAAAATGTAGTTCCCAGTGAAGCTGAGCAAGGGAAGAGTGGAGAAATGGATCTAAGAGCAAACAGGCAATTGACCAGCAGTATTTATGAGGAAAACCATTGATCTGGTTTGCAGTAAAGGAGGAAATATTTTCTAGATGGAAATCTCAGATCCCTTCGTCTCATTAAACTCTTAGTGGCAATACTGTGTCACAGAGTTTAAAATTTCCTACCGGGGAAATCTCTCAAATATTCAAGTCTTTAAAAAAACAAAACAACTCGTAACCTTTAGTCAAGGTTGAATTCCTTATTTATTAAATATGCCAAACACTTTGCTAAACAGCAGGATGTACTAGCGAATAAGACAATATTCTCAAGGAGTCCACAGTCTATTAGAGACACACACACAGAGCAGTAATACGTTACATAAGCATTATTTGGAGAAAGTACTTAGAAGCTTATGGGCATTTTAGCCTGGGTCCTTCACATGACTGGACATGTGTGTTAGGCAGAATAATGATCCATCAACCCTAATCCCAGGGACCTGTGAATATGGTACCTTACCTGGCAGAAGGGACTGTGCAGCTGTGATTGAGGTAAGGATCTTGGGATGAGATGATCCTGGATTACCTGGGTAGACCTCAAATAATCTTGAGCCCTTATGAGAGGCAGAATGTCAGAAAAGGAGAGGAGATCACAGAAACAAGTGCTAACTCCTGAGCGGGGG